GAATAGAAGCTCTCCTATGCATGTAGACTGTGGGGAGCACAGAGATCTCTCTCTTAGCACAAGAAAATACAGAAACTCCATCACCATGGATTACTCTTACACACAGACCCACCAAGAAGACCATCAACAACACCAGAAGCAGCAATCATTCGATCCCTCAAGAATCCAATCCTACGACCAATCCTACCAGGCCTATTATCCCTACAATCACCCCCAACAATCCGACCACCAACAACAATACCAACACTACTACAATCCCACCACCACCACCCAGGATTACGCCACCTCCCACGACGCCACCGCCCACCACCACCAATACCATCAAGAACCCATTTCGATTCATCCTCCCGGGGTCCCAATTCCGCCCCAACAGCCACAAACGGCGGATCCTGACCCGACCCATTTGCAGAATGCGTATTACCCACATGGGGTTGCGGAGGATCAGAAGCAGCAGGTGGATTCGAGCTCGGGCTATGGTGGGTTGAATCCAGCGGCCGTGGCAGCGCTTTCGCAGCTCTCGCAGCTTACTGGGAACATCGAGGCGGCCCAGCGGGCTGCTCAACCCCCGGTAAGTGGTTGGTTTTCTTAATTCTGGTTTGAATTTAGCATTTTTTGTTATTAGGCATTGGGAATTCTTGTTCTTATAATAATGTGATGCCTTTTCTCTTTATCTGGCCAGTCTTATGAATTTGATGTGTATAACCTACTTGTAGTTCGGGGCATGTTTTCGCATTTAATTTGATTTGTAGAGTGTGAACTTTGTTTTAAAACATGTTATATATTTTCTCGAATGTCTTCTTTCATATGGTGAAATTCGGGTGGGGGTGAATTTATGGAACTTTTGGCTTTCGATATGAAGGTTATATCTTGACAAAATTCGTGCTATTTAGTTTTGACTGTAACTAGATAAGCAAAAGGAGTGATATGATCTGTAAGTAGTGATTAGCTTAATCATTATTAAGGGTTTAATTCTTGGGATTATTAGGCTTATTCCTGTTTTAGTGTAGTTTGTTATAATTGTCCAGCTGGCATGGTAAGTTGTAACTTGTATAAGAGCACTAGCTCTCAGTATTGTGGGGGAGGAGAATTTACAAACAGAAATACAAAACCAAAAAACAATTCAAGAGCTCTGCTCTCTCTCTCTCTTTCTTCCCTCTCCCTCTCTATCCTTTGTGACTTGCAGGTTGATTAAGGGGTTAGAGAATTGGGGTCGTATCGATGGAACTTGAGTCGCAGAAACTGATTGAAAAAAATGCATTCTACATCAATTGATAGCATGCCATTTCCTCAAAGACATTAATGTTTTCATCATCAAGATTATTGTATTTTTCTTTTTGTTTTTTGGCATGGTGGGTGCGCGTGTCCTCCATGCCAAGGCAATAAACAAGTCTATAAGAGGCTGTATTGGCATGTATCAGGATCTCTTTTTGAGTATGTTAGTGTTTTCTTTTCTGCTCTCAAATTGCATCTCAGGTTGCTTTTCAGAAAACCAGTAGCCTTGGTGGTACTTTGGTCTTCAAAATTTTGCTTTTAAAAAAAGGATCTGCAATTGTATATCTCCATAATTACAACTGATTTTAGACTGTCGGATCTTCACACAACGGTTTTATCGTTATTGGGGAATATTAAGTTCAATCTTGGATACATTTACCTGAAATTGGTATAATCTTAGATGATCATCATTTGATGTGGGATTCCCTTTGCTAATCTATCGTACTGTTTACAGCATGTTAGCACATGTTACATTACAATGGATGTAACTTGTACCCGGTGTGCACATGTGAATAATTTTTTTGAAGATGACTGGTGTTATTATTTGGCCTGATGAAGACTTGTTGTCATTCTTTTTCCAATTTGGGAAAAGTATGTAGCGGCCCTTACCTGTTCTGATTCTAATTCAGTATATCCGACTTTGTTTTTAATTTAGTAACTGATGCAACAATCTAAATTCTTTAATGAATCTGAGACATCTGGTTTGTAGATTCTCTATTCAGGTTCCATTGGTTAACGTGGTTTGCGTTTTTTAATTGAATCCTTATTCATGTTCTGCCTACTTCAACCTAGGCATAGCCCTTATCAGAAATTACTTAAGAACATTTTCTGTCGGATTGATTTTAGCATTTCTTTCATATATGTGTTTTTGAATGTATCAGGATAAGAATTCTTATTGTCATTGTTGATTTTTATCTATATTTGTGCTTGTTTTGTGCATTTTATTTCAAAGTTGTCATTGTTTCTTTTGCTTTTTCTGTTCATGGAAGCATTAGTAATAAACATTACATGCATTGCTTTATCCTTAAATGCTATTCTGCAGATTGGGCAAACTATATATAGAGGTGGAGGTAGGAGGGGCAATAGGCCCTTCCGGGGGGGTGGTCGGGGCCATTTTGTTTACCGTGGTTCTAGACCAGATGGCTCAGCACCCCCATTCCGTGGTAGGGGACGTGGCCAGGGTGGTGGTAGGCACTTTCAACAGTATGGTGCTGCATCAACCAATCCAAATTCAATACCTGTTCCTGCTGAAGGTGTAGCTGCTTTAACGCAGCCGCCTTCAGCGTTGGTTCCTGGGCAGGCACCATTACCTGTACCAACACAAGTGTCTTCTGCTTCATTCTGGCGACCTCCTCGTATGGTTTGGTGTGAACTTTGTAGGGTTGACTGCAACACTCCTGAAATCCTTGAGCAGCATAAAAATGGAAAGCGACACAAAAAAAATATGCTGGTACATGAGGAGTTGCAGAAACGCAACAAAGTCAATACTGGACAACAGAATGCTCAAATGCCTAACACTGAATTAAAAACAGAAGTCCCTGTGAGAGTTGAGGGATTTGAGGAAAAACAACCCTTACAAGAAAATATAACATCTGGAGTAGTTACTGATGATAGTAGAAATGAAACAGATCAGAAAGATACCGGCACAAATGCTGAAGCTTCCACAGAACCTGGGAACAACTCCAGCGATCAGTTTGCAGGCCGAGGACGAGGTTCTAAGCATAGGATGCGAGGGGGTCGAGGGGGTCGAGGGGGTAAGTATGTGAGGACTAATGACGGATCCAGAAGACCAGTTGAGCCTCCCAAACCAAAACAAGTTCCTTTTATATGTGAATTGTGCAATGTCAAGTGTGAGTCACAGGTGGTTTATGATAGTCATGTGAACGGTAAAAAGCATATAGCCACCCTCAAGCGGTTTCATGGTCACCGTGCTTTGTACGGAGATGCGGGGCTTCAAGCACTTAACCCACCCAATGTAAATGCTGCATCAACTTCAGCTGCCCCCCCTGTCCATCAAGTTGTCAATGATCCTCAGGCCCTCCTGGCACAACTGTTGATGAATTATGTGCTCTCTCAAACCCAAGCACAAGGGATAGCACCAGCTCCAGGAGCAGCACCAGCTGCGTCACCAGCTCAAGGAACAAGCACGGGAACCCAGAATCAACTGGATTCACTGATTCAAGGAGCACAAGCGATGTGTCAAGATGGAAGCCAAAACGTGGTTATAGAGCAAATCAAGAGTCTGCTGCAATCTGTCCAGGCATACTCTGCAACCCCAGCGGCCGGGACTGCAGTCGTGAACACTGGGAATGAAACTTCAGAGTTTGAAGCGAAGAAGGCAAGTGGTCTTATAAACACTACAGCTGCGGCACCAACAAATCCAGGCACAAGCGAGCAAGTTTCTGGAACACCATCGAGCAAGGAATGCGAAGTTGCCGCCTCCTCAGATTCATTTGTTCAGCCACAACCCGAAGGCCAAATGTAGGAGCCAAAGTTCGACAACGAAAAGTAAGAGCCAAGCCTACGGAATAGATACAGTTTGATATGTTTATGACCGAATAAGATACACTAATTTAAGCCCTAGTAACGTTTTATGTGACATTGAACTCAGTGGTTATTTACTTTTTGATGTGGGATGTTGAGGATTACCCATGTTTTCTGGAAATATATATATATATATATATATATATATATATATATATATATATATATTAACAAACAATATTATTTACACTAAGAATGAGGGAGTGGCTGAGCAGGATGGCTTGAGTTTCATAATGGACTATTAATAATATGGTCAATTTCACTTTTTGCAAGAATCGAATCTAAGACCAGAGTACTAATTGGCAATGGAAAGTTGTATTTAAAATAAAATTAAGGATACTGAAATGATAAGCTGCAAACCATTGTTATGTAAAACAATACTTATTGTTTATCAGTGTCCCTAGTTTTATTTTCGCTCGTCCTTTGCTATACCTTTTGAAACGCATTTGTCTCCCACATCATGAACTCAAATTGTCACTGGTTTCACCAAACCTTGTCTCACTTGTCACATTCCGTTAAATCTTCTAGTGCACCAAGTATGACGAATATTTTACTCATTAAATTTGATTTTAAATAACTTTTACTTTTTACAATTTTTTTTTAATAAATGATAGTATTACACCAAGGTCATCTCAATAAACAGTGTCAAGTTATACTTATATACTTTCTCGGACCGAATGAGCTAAACATCTTTCTCTCAATACTTTATTAGTTTGAGGTTTATACTTTAAATTTATTGGTTAATTTAGTTAAATTATCGTTGCATGTTTTCAAATCTAACCGTTGAATTTGAATCAATTATTGCAATTGAGAAGTTGCAATTGAGAAGTTGGGTCTCATGAAATGGGCTAGCCTAATTTCCCCTTGGCCAAATAATAGCCAAACCAATGGTTAGGGATGAGTTTTTGTGCAAATCAGGTCATTTTTTGATTTTCGGACGTTTAGCACTCTCCATCGGAGATGGCCTAAAGGAGTGGGGAAGTGGGTTAAGCCTCACATTGAGCTAGCTAGAATAATGTGGTTCAACTTTGCCTTTGGCAAGAATTGAACCTAAGACATCTTAACTTACAAGTAAAGAAGAATAACACTAAAATGTAATACTAAATAGCTATTTTCTACAATTTTAAATCTAAGAAAAATAATTTCCAGTGCTACAAACCATTGTAAAAAGATATTAAAAAAAGAATTCCAAAAATCTTCCATCTTACCCTCCTGTAAACCCACCCCTTGATTTTGTTATCCGAAAGAAACCCACCCGCCGTAAAGCGCCAAGCACAGCGCCGCCACCCCGCTCCCTTCCTCCCCTCCTCCCCTCCTCTCTCTCCACCGCCATGCCCACCGGAGTCCACAACAGAAATCAAACTCGTTGAATCAGAATCCTCACTTAATTCATAATCTCCCTCCCTCCGTCTCAAAAATGTTTTGTCATCGAGTAGGAGCTCCGCCGTCACAAACCGAACTCCTTCCGCTCCGGAGACGTACCGTTTCTGAAGTCCAAAATGTCCCCGCGTCCCTTCAACTCTCTCTCACCCAAAAACCGTAAAAAGGGTCCTCGTATAAGGGCGGTCTCCATAGATGAAATTCCACCAAATGCCCTCCGCCGGAAGCGAGACCCGCAATGGAGAGGCGGGTTTAGCGTAGGGGTAGATTTGGGACTGTCACGCACCGGCCTTGCCGTCAGCAAAGGCTTCACCGTCCGTCCTCTCACCGTAATTATCCCCCAACAACAAAATTGATTTGATTTCTTTAATTTAATTTAATTTAATTCGTTCTTAATTGTGTAGGTATTGAATTTGAGAGGGCAGAAGCTTGAGGATCAGCTGCTTGAGATCGCAAAGAAGCAGGTATAAAATTAATCATATATTTTAAACTATTTTTCAATATTATTTTTCCTTGTATTTTCGCCTAATTGTAAATTTAGTATTGTAAAAGATAAATTATCATAAAATAGAGTAATGGTTATTTTTGGTTAATACCGTTAGAACTTAGGTCCGAAATGAAGTGTTGTATGGGGCAGATAAAGGTTGAAAGTTCTAACGGGGTTATCCAAAAATCCACATTATGACGAGTATCGGACCAATTCTCCAATTTTTCGTTTTGTTTTTATAAATGGATTAATTAATTAATTAATAAGAAAAAGAACAAAATGTAGGAGGCAGATGAGTTCATAGTTGGCCTTCCGAAATCGAGTGATGGGAAAGAGACGCCTCAGTCTAACAAAGTTCGTAGCGTTGTTGGAAGGCTTGCTGTTAGTGCCGCTCAGAGGTGTTAACTCAATACTAATGTTACTCATTTGTTTACTTGTTAATCAATTTTTGCTCTCAAAATAAAAATTGCAATGTCTTCTCATAAATGGCACCAAGGATTTATACAATCAAAGATTTGTTGGGTCGATGCTGGTTTTTGCTATTTGTGATTCGTTGTGTTTGGTCATACAAATTCTTTGTTTCGTTAATTTTGCTTTGTTCTAAACAACGAGCATCGTGATTATATCTTGTAGTGGGGAAGTGTTAACTGAAACTTCAAATTTCAGGGGTTGGAGAGTGTACCTTCAAGATGAAAATGGGACGTCCATGGAAGCCATGGATCGGATGATTAACGTGTAATCCTTTCTACTTCTACCAAATCACCTTTTTCCAATGATTGAATACTTCTTTGCATTGTTTAAAGATGGCTATCAACTATCATAATGTGTGCTTTCTTTCTCGAGCATCTTATCATTTTTGGTTTTGAACGCTAAATGGCACGTTATAGTGGGAATTGTACTTCTATAGTTCTTTATGGGACTTGAGTTGTAGATTAATCTTTAGGTCCAAAAAGCTGCAGTACGCAAAACTGAAGAAGTAATGTCAGGAGTCGTATACTTCATCTTATCACTAGGAGACTGTAGGGTGTTTTGTCATTTCTCACATATCTGTTTTCAGGGGCCTCGACAAGTCTGATCGACAAAGCCAAATCGATGCCTACGCTGCCATGGTATGCAATACATTCTTAGTTAAGTGCTATAAGCTTGATGAATTTGCTCATCTTTGGCGCATGTATTCAAGAAGTGAGCACTGTAGAATATGATTGGAGGTATGTTTTTTTTCATTTTCTGGATGCAGATGGTGCTGGAGAGATATTTTTCCATGTCAGGTGAGGGCACGGAGCTCGTACTGCCCAGGAATCTGGATCTTCAAGACAAACTTCGAAGAGGGCTGCCTATAGATACCGATTTTTTCGATGAAGATTACGAGGATTGACGATTCAATGTTAACCGTGAAACTCAGTACGTATGCCCAAAAGTATGTACGTGAATATTGTTCAAAGTTGTAATTGCAGTTTTACAATGGGATGGGATAACAGAACGGAAGGGGAAAACAGAAAAATGTGACTCGTACATGCTCCGCTTGCAAGAAATCAGTACAAATGCTCTTAGCATATAGCCAAATTTTCTTCTTCTAGCTTGGATATGCATTACTACCAGTTACTTTCTTTGTATTGCATCATAATCACTGTTCTAAAAATTCCCACCTGGCGCCGCCTACGCTCCGCGTAGGCTAAGCGGCTAATCACTGTCCCGATTAGTCCCTCCTCGTTTGAAAATAAAAGAAAGTGCGCCTAGACCTGCTTAGGTATCCACCTAGCCCACTTAGATGTCCACCTAAGCACCTGTCTAGGTCACAACTCTTATTTAAACAGGATATCGATTACTTCCGTTTTGCATTTTATTTTGTCAATAAAATGTAACATAATTGTTAAATACTTGTTCACTATATGCTTGTTATCATGTTTGTAATGTGTTTTAATACTTTATAATTTGTATGTCATTATATTTTGCAATTGATATATCACAATACAATTATATGTCTTTTTAAGTATAAATAGACACTTATTCACACAATATATAAAATTTACTTAAATCCGTCTGGTCTGCCTAGATCCCATGTAGACGCTAGGGCCTAGTTCACCGCCCAACTAGCACCTAACGTCTTTTAGAACCTTGATCATAATACGGAGAGGGATATAATGAAATGGGGATGGCCTAGGTGGTAGTATCTCAAAATCTATTACATGAGAAATTTTTTATTGTGACGGAAACACAAGTAGTAGATCACGTGTTTTTATATAAGTGGTAGGAAATTATATTTTTGAAGTTATTAACTTTTTAACACACATATCCTACTGTTAGTATAGTGACACATGGTGTATCACCTCGTGTGCCGGTCACATTGAAAAATTTATCCTATCACACATCGCGTTTTAGCCTGCAGTAATTATCAACCAAATCGAGAATTGTTGTCATATAAACTTTGCAAAGGCAACATAATTTGCTTGATAAAACTGAAATGAAGATGATAGTAATCAAACAGTTAAAGACATATGCATGCAAATAGTGACACACCATAATCAAACGTGGTACAAATATTTTTTATTAATTTTATGAAAATCTCTTAGCGGGACAGTTGCAAACGTCGATCCTACTAGCGAGTGACTTGTGCCGTGCCCTGTCCCTTGTCCTCGTTGTGTTGTTGATCCTTGAGCTCCTTCTCCTCCTCGACTGGTTGTTTGAGTTGCTCCTCCTCCCCCTACATCTGGAATTTTAATGCTGCTGAATTCGGGATGTTCAATAGATTTATTCACACGACGTCTTCGAACATAACTCTCAGCCTCATGCTGGCTGAAGACATTCCGACATGAAAGACGATGCCTACACAGCTTTATAAATGTTCTGTGTCTGAAATCCTCCTCACTTTCCCCCGACCTTCTGTCGTTCATGAAATCCCCGACATCATCGCTTGGGCAATACTTCTTGAGCTGATCAAACATATTATCGATCACCTCTCGTTGATCATTGGAGTTGAGTTGCCTGAAAAGAAGAGCAACTCGCACAAGCTTCTTTCACCGGAGAATTTCTTGTCAAAACATTCTTGGAACAACGGCAACCTTTTAAAGACGGGAACCTTATTAAATAGATCCATGAATGTTCGCATTCTGAAATTTTCCTCGCTCTCCTCCGCATGTCTTTCGATCACAAGAGTACCTTCAGGGAATTTACGGGACATCTTCCCAACGGTCTCACTTCGATCGTTGGCCGATAGCAAGCCAAATGCAAGATTTGAGAGACGTGAGAGTAATTCAGCAGCACCGGCAGAGTCCTGCTGCGGCCCAAGGAGGCACATCCAGCGCGGAATAGATGTTCGTTGATCTAGCAGTTCCTCTTCCACATCATAAATAAAACGTACGTGGTCACGAAACTCTAGTTGCTTAAATCGCTCTCTGAATTTTCGGAGGTTCAAATCCTTCTCACTTTCTTCTGGGATTTTCCGATGATCAATTTTAACCCTTTTAAATCCATTCATCATATAGAGTTCTCTAACCAGATGCCTCTGTCCAGGGGCCGCTTGTCCCTTGAACCAAATCAATGAGAAATCCAAGAAAAGTTGAGCAAAACAATCAGAAGACTCGGAACTTTGATCGTTAATGTGGTCTTTGATTTCTTGATTCAACTGTTTTATAACTTCAGCCACGAAATGATGCTGCTGAGCCAAGGGAAGTTTGTTAAATAGCTCCGCAAATGTTCTGAGTCCGAAACCCTCCTCGCTTCTCAAGCACAGCAACATCTTCAACTACTTCATTACGCATTTCTTTCGTCTTCTCTCGTTGGTCACTAGGGGATAGTCGGCTGAACCCTAAGATCGAAATACGTAACAGTAGTTCAGCACCATCATAGTCAGCATCATAATCATCAATACCACAAGAACCGTCTTCCGGCTTGGACGACATTCGTAAGGCTGTTCTTTGTGAGATTAGATTGACCTAAAATCAAAGTCTGGTTTTGTGGAGAGTATCCAGTCGTTCAATATTACCAAGGCATTGCAAACATATTTAAAATCATCTCCAACGTTGAGGAAATTTCCAAGTGGTTAGAAATGCCAGAATACCAAAACCCGTTCTTTATGTTTGAATCAAAGTAAACCATCTTATTATTAGATTCATATATATCTACCTCATGCCGTGGAGAGATTTTTCAATATGATCATCACACGAGGTGGTACAACACGTGTTCTTATATAAATGATGAGATATGTGTGTTAAAAGGTTAATAACTTAAAAATTAAAATTTTCCATCACTTACATAAAAACACGTGATGTATCATCTGTGTTCCCGTCACAACTAAAAATTTCTCCATATTGTGATTGAGAAGACAAAAACAAGTTTTCTTTCATGGTAATGCTAGGGAGACTAAATTTAGAGACAAAATTTTAGAAACTAAAGGACATGAAAGCCGATAATTGGTTTATGGATAATGCTAGGGAAACTAAATTTGTACATAGAAAAATTTTGTAAACTAAATAATATGGAAGCTAATGATTGAATTATTATTTAAGCGTTGATAAACGTGCTCATTTTTATTTGTGGCACATCATTTAATTTGCAAATTTAGTCTACTTTTTTACATTTGGATTTATACATTGTAAACCAGTGTCCATTTTCTACTTTGTTTCTTACATTTAGATTCAGACACTGTAATCTAGTGTTCGTTTCCTAGTTCTGTTTTTACTTTGGATTTAGACACTGCAATGTAGTGTCCATTTCCTAGTTCTGTTTTTTTAATTGAGTAAACTCCTCTATGTAAACGAAGGGCGAGAGAGAGAGAGAGAGAGAGAGAGAGAGAGAGAGAGAGAGAGAGAGAGAGAGAGAGAGAGAGAGAGAGAGAGAGAGAGAGAGAGAGAGAGAGAGAGAGAGAGAGAGAGAGAGAGTGATAGAATATACATGTTCTAACTATATATAGGATTCAGATCCTCTCTGGATTAGTTCCATGGGAATAGAAATCCAACGGTCAAAACCTCTTCCCCTTCCGCTCTTTTTTCTTCTTCATCTTTGAGATTTATCTCTACTGTAACTTTATTTCTCTATATAATTCTTCCATAGTTATGAAAAATATCTTTCCAACCAAAAGACATCGGCTTGCACGACCTTTCTCTTTGTTGTTTTGTTAAGATCAAATGAGATTTTAGGGTTGAGGCACCTGCAATAGAGGGATGTGGTGTTTCTGGGGTTGATTTTGGGGAGGGTAAGTTAGGGACTTGCAATTAAGGGTTGTGGGTTAGGTGAGTTGTGATTGTGTTAGGGCTAATTTTGAGTTGGGGTTGAATTTAATCTAGAATTTGAGGGGCTGGTGGTATGAGGTTGAGAGCTTCGAAGTGAGGGAGAAAGATAGGAGTTGAGGGCAAGAGAGGAAAGGGAAGAGATTTTGACTGTTGGATTTGAATCAATAGATGAGATCCGTTGGTCCAGAGGATCCCCACAAAATTAATTCGGAGAATCTAAATCCCTATTTATAATAGCTTAAAGGCCATAAGACATTTATAAAGAGAGAAAGCGAGAGCAAGATAGAAAACTCAAATTCTAACTATTTATAATGACTTAAAGCCAATGTGGCATTCATCATTGACCCATGCCTAATTAATGAAAATATATCATTGATTAAGTCCAAAACAAAAATATGTCATCGATATAGGGCTTAATAGTAAAGTTTTTATTGACTTTTGGCTAAATTACCTTATATATTTCCTCCTAGTGAGAAGAATAAAGTTGAAGAATTCATGAATTCTAAGTTGGCATCACGAGCGTAGTTTAGAAGTCACGAGAAAACTCTCTACCGTAGATCTAAGCAATGAGAAGAAATTCGTCGAAACGAAACCTAATGTTGTTGCACAGGTAGCTCAAAGTCGTCCTCACTGAACATGTGCTCATTGGGGCAAACCTTGCCACTGCAAATTTCATCGCTATGAGATTGTGGGCTATCCGGAATGGTGGGATTATAGCAGGGTCCTAAAAAACATTTAGGTCGTCAGTCACTTGAAACTGCCAACAAGCTCTGACTAATGTATATCACGCCTCTGTTTTAGCAGTAACAACAAGTAATAATGGTAAGTGTTGGAAGTATAGCCCTTAAAGCCACTCATTTGATGTATAGCTTTTGGAATAATTGTCATGTTAAATTCTTATTTGTTTAATGGAAGGGCAAAGCTTATTGTCAATCACTCTATATTGTATCATGTGTTTAATCAATAATAGAATCCAATTAATGTATTTAACCTAAGAGAAAAGTGATCCAAGTAAGTTAGATCAACAAGAACTTTTTGTTATGTTCATTCCTAAAACGTTAAAAGAGAGTTCTAACCCATAAGTTGCAATAATGCAAAGTAGTCATTTGACCTGAGACATCACAGTTGTCTAGTAGTTAGGTTCTTGATTTTTTTACTATGTTAAAGGCATTCCATTGACAATGTCCATGACATTGGTGTGGTTAAGTTACAGAATCATGTGGGCATGTGAATGTACAACAAGATATCTCTAATCTTCCATAGTGGAAGGAGAATATAAGATATGTATGTAAAAAAGAAAAGCTTCATAAATCTAATGTCTTTAGATGACATTACATATTCAATTGACTTATCGTTTAAGCGTATAACTTTTGCCCTTAGATTAAACTAGATTAGTTTAACATATGAAATGTCCATAAGTATCATCTCATATTTTGGTTTAGGACACATTTCCAACAGTTATATGTTGCTTATATGTGGTCTTTCCAAGTACCCTACTTTGGGAGGTGCTCGCTGGTTTGCTACATTTATCAATGATTGTACCCAAATTACGTGGATATCTTATGAAATCCACATTTGAAGTGAATGAGTTGTTCTAACAGTTTCATAAGTTCATTCAGTGTCAGTACAAGACTCAAAGACAAGTGATTCGCAGTGATAATGGAGGTGAGTACTTGAGTGCGGATGAAAAATTAC